TAATATTAATTCTGTAATTTTTTATTTAACATTTATGTGAAATATACAACGAAATATATGTAAAAATATATATTTATATAAAAACCTGCACAGTCTAGATAGGGCAATTGTTATAGAGCCAAATATGTAATCAAAACGATTTTCTGGTTTTTTATCGACGAAAAGTGAATCGGAGAAGGCGACGAGGCCTTCAAAACCAGACTTTGATATATCGCGATGAAAATGTGATTTCCAATGGAAAGGAAAACACAATTATCGACCAATCAATGTGGCCAGCCATCGTGAACCGATCGAATTCCTATTTTCCATCTTCCGAGTCTGAGTCGATGTGATATATATATTCTTAGGAACAATGATCGATGGAAATAATATCATAATCGTATTATCAAAATTAATAATGGAAATTCGATAACTTGGAAACTTGAAACATTGCGGGAATTCAAATGACAATACAATAATTCCATTTCTTGGAGAGAATAACTTCGAAGAAAGTAAAGATATTCGATAATTTGAAAATTCAGAAAAATTTCGAAATATCGCAGAAATTCGAGACGTTTAGGAGGAATTTAATTCGAACGAAGATGAGTGTAATTTCTTATTTGAAAAAAAAAAAAATAAATAACTTCGAAGAAAATAACAATGGATGTTTCGATAATTTAAAAAGTTCGAAGAAAATTCGAAACAATGCAGAAATTTAATTAAAATTGCAGGGATGAAAGAAGTATCCGAGTTACATAAATGATTACTTTTCTTAAGAAAGAAAAAAACTATTACAGGAAAGCAAAAAGAAAAAGAAGAAGAAGAAGGAAAAAAATATAGAAAACTATATACATATATATATATTTAATAATCTCTCTGTTTGACCAACTTATTACTGCTTGTTCCAGTTTTAATAAAACCGTTTCACCAACCGTTAACAGAGACCTTTTTATCCTAGTATTATCCAGAAACTCAACATATTAAAACCCCTCCTACACAGACATTTCTAAATTAAAATTCACGTTCTAGAAATCAATTCACCAACAACAACCAATTTAATCGAAAATCGAAAATTTTTTCCAACGACAATTACTATATAATGCGCGTGAAAATTTGGAAAATTTGAAAAATTGAAACAAAACAATTTTTCGTTGTTCGAAAAATTACCAACAATTCTCGATCTTTTTGTTTCTATTTTTATCTATTAAAATAGGGAAAAAAGGAAGGGAAGGAAAGGGGGAGAAAAATGGAGAAATAAGTAGAAAAACAAAACCCGTTTAGAAATATATATCGTTTCTTTTTTTTTTTTTTTCATCTCGCTTTACATCGAACATGCACTTGAAACATATCGACTCGAAACTGTATGATACGCGAAACGATTATTTCCATTTCATTTCGAAATATCGTTCACGTTTCTGATACAACCTGTATATATATTTTTCTTCTTTCTCTCTCTCTCTC